TTACCAGGTCTATATACTACCTTAAATGTGTAGGGTTGGAGTCGCAAAACCCAACGCTGAATTCTGGCACTAGGCTTTGACTTGGATGAATAAATGATTTCTAAAGGTTTATGATCAGACACAATAGTAAAGGTTTTCCCAACAAGATACATGTATAGAGTTTCACAAGCCCAAACAATTGCTAACGCCTCCTTCTCAGTCTGTGAATATCTTTGTTCCGTATTTGTTAATGCCTTGCTGACATATTTAATAACAATAGGTTGTAACTTACCATTAATAGACTGATGTTGAATAAGTACAGCTGCAATTCCAACAGGGCTTGCGTCTGTAACAAGTGTAGTTTCTGCTTCCTTATCATAATATCCTAGAGCAGGTGCCTTAACGATAAGGTCTTTCAACTGCCTAAATACATTTTCATGTTTCTGACTCCATTCAAAATCTGTGTCTTTCTTCGTGAGATGCCTTAAAGGTTCTGTAAGCGTGCTAAAATGGGGTATAAAGCGAGCAGAGAAGTTCACTAAACCTAGAAAACTTCTTACTTCTGCTTTGTTCTGAGGTGCCCTAAACTCTTGTATTATTTGTTGTGACGTTGTTGTAGGTCTAATACCTTTCTCAGAAAGATGATGGCCTAAAAAAGTTATTTCAGTTACTCCAAAATAACATTTCTTCTCATTTAGAGTGAGACCATTACTGTGTAGCCTATCCAAAACTTGTCTTAGCCTGTCATCATGTTCCTGCCTACTACGGCCGCCGATTCTAATATCATCTTGACTATTAGCAACTCCATCAATTCCTTGTAATAATTGTGCTAGGATACGTTGGAACATTTCCGAAGCACAGCGAATGCCAAATAAAAGTCTTTTAAATCTGAATAAACCCAAGCTGCTACTAAAAACTGTTACTACACGTGACTCCTCATCCAGTTCCAATTGATGATAGCCCCACTTAATATCAAGAGATGAGAAGTACCTGCATCCATTGAGATCGGCCAGAAGTTCTTCAAAAGTAGGAAGTGGGACTCGCTCCCTAAGAACAGCCTCATTTGCCATCCGCATGTCCACCACAAGCCGGTACTGATCCTTTTCTTTCTTCTTAACAATGTGTGACGGTGATACACATGGTGTCGGTCCAGTTACTGGTTCTATAATGTCATTGTCAAGTAGTTCATTGATAAGTTTTTCTTCAATATGTCTCAAATTAAATGGTTGTCTCCTAACTGGTTGAGCAACTAACTTTACTTTCGGATCTAGAGGTATAACTAACTTGAAATCTCTCAACTTTCCTACACCTATAAACAATTCTGGATACTCTTTCATTATCATTTCTTTGGTAATAGGTATGTAATCAATAGAATTTATTTTTTGAGACTTACATTGCTCATGGGAAATAGGTCCTACTCGTAACAATCCCAGTTGTATTGATGTTAGTCTGCTTAACAAAGATGGCCCATGACCGTCATAAACCAAAATATCAGCAGTCACTTTAATTTTACTATCAGGCGAGTATAATGTAGTTCTAAACATACCTAAACTTAAAATTTCTTTACCTCCATAAGAGTAATACTTTTGCAATTTATCAATTTTAAGTTTACAACAAAATTTTGATTTTATTAAACTCTTAAAAACAGATTTATCAATAATATTAATAGAAGCTCCTGAATCAACAATAAACTTGCAAACTAATTTGTCACCAACCTCTATGTCGAACTTGTTGCTATCAATGCTACTCACTTGATATACAGAATTTACCTGTAAGTTTTTTTTATTGTCACACTCCTCATCACTATCATCAGAACAATCAGAATCTGAACTTGATGCATTTTCTATAACATACTTGACATATCTTTTCTTCCTTTTTAGTGACTTCTCCTTGCTAGAACTAGAAGAAGGAATATCATACTTGTGCCTTGTCTTGCAACATTTTGCAAAATGACCCTTAATACCACATTTAATACACTTTTCGTTTAATGCAGGACAATGTCCATCTTTTGCCATATGGCCTTTACCACCACATCGATAACAAGTAACATCTCGTTGTTGTTGTATTTTATTTATATCCGATTCACTTTTTTCCTCCTCAGTATCCATTTTTGGAAACATATTTTTATTAATTTCAAACAGTCTACAAATTTGTAATGCTGAATCTAAGGTCAGGTTTCTGCCTCTTTTTAATAATTTTCTTTTTAAATCTATATTGTTGCATTTCTCTACAATTTGATCTCTTAACATCTCGTCCTTGTTTGGGAAATCGCAGTACATACATTGCCTTCTAAGTTTTAATAAAAACTCATCTATTGTTTCATTTTTCATTTCTAAATTTCTAAATTTTTGACGTTCTATAGCAGTATTAGCTTCCGGTATAAAGTATAAATTCAACCTGTTTACACACTTAATGTACTCATTTTCACCTTCAGCGTCATCTTCTTGCAAAATTTCGTATATATTTTGCACTTCAGGACCTGCCTGGTGCAATAACCTTGCCACTTTTTGTTTGTCATTTAACGCTATTTGACCTTCAATATAATACTTGAAATTCTGAAGCCAAGTTTTCCATCGCTCGCCAGTAGTATTCGGTTCGGAGAAGGGACTGAACTGTGGCCCAGCAGCTCCCACCGAATATTCCAAACGCTCCATTATTACCGAAGCCGGCGTCCCGCCGCCGCTTATCTGTTCTGTTGCGTGATTTCGCACCGTTCTCGTCGCCAATGTTGTAGATTATTCCAATAAAGAAAAGTATTATTGTATTCGTTTATTTAGAACTCCAATCACAATATTACAATACGTATGCTAGATATTACTTTTAGATTTTTCCACGTGTCGTACACCATTATTTATTACAGCTTCACCGACTGACTTTTTTACAGGGTTGCCATCATAGTAATGTGGCCATAACAAAACTCTACACTAATGTGTTCGCGTTTTGTGTAAATAATAATCACTTTTTATACCTGTTATAAATAATCTTGTCGAGAATTATGTAGAGAAGTTTATTGGATATTAAATAAAATGATAAGGAATACCTTTATTTGTTTCGTGCCTTTTAAATAATTTTGTTAAAACTTTCATTTTGATTCAATTAATGTTTAAAAGTTTTCAACGCCTTATTACAAATATATATGTATATCGTTATAAGCATCAGCTTTTTATTCATGCGTAAGCATCTAATAGTCTGTGTTTATATTTAATTTTTTACCAAAGCGCTTTACATCGAAACATACTAAAAAAGCATGTAAACAAAATTAAACGTTGAATAAAAAGCCGTTTTTCCCGTTTCTGTCACAATACATTACATCAGAAACGTCTAGTTCTGCCATAAGATTTTTCAGTCACGACCCTCAGTAGTTATGTAGAGTATGGTGTGTAGTGGTTACTTTTAAATGCCTATGTTTATTTTAAACATCGCAAATTTCAAATTTAGTAGCAGGTTCAATTTTTGGTAAGAGCAGCGCTTTTTTAAAATTCTTTGAATGCAATTCGTAATCAGAACTTCGGATTATTGTAAAATAGTAATGTAGTGTCAAAAAATACTAGAAAATGTCCACTTGAACCGGGCATCAGAGGGGATGCGAACCCACACTTACCGCAGTTGCCCTATCCGGGCGACATAAAGCAATTAAGGATATTAATTAAATAGGAAGGAATGGGTTTGAATCCAGTCTGATGCCAGGGCCAAGGACCGACCAAGCAGATTTTATTCTAGTTCTTTTAAATTTATAATTAAATATATTAAAAACATCAATAGGTTTTTTTTATTTGCAGCCCCCCCTTTTTTGCTCCCTCATACCCTAGAATTACCTACAAATAATTAATCAAATCAAATTAAGTTCAGTAGTAAAAGCAAGTGCCTTTTAGGGTTTCTGAGGCGGTTTTAAGGTAGGGCATTGTCACATAATGCCCCTCTAGCTACGGCCCTTTTTTTTTTAATACGAAGGTAAAAAATCTATTTACAGACGACGGCGCCTTTAAGGGGCACACCGCCGAACGGACCTCACACCTGGCTCCCGCAAGTCTTACGAACCCCCCAGTGGCTGCCCACCAAGGACCTCGCAACTCTTACGGGCGATTTACGGTATAATATCCGCTAAAAAAGTCCTGCGAATACCCTCTAAGCTGCTTAGCACGGAGCTGCGGATCCCCGTTTAGGGATTCTTCCGCGTCTCCGCACCTAGCAGCCTCCCGGTCTAGCCGGGGCTCCACGGCAGGGGTCTCCCGGGGTACCCCGGGTAGGCCCGCGCGTGGGGGCTGAGTACGCGGCCTAGTGCCCACCGTACCGCCCCCCGTCCGCTGCGGAGGGCTACTTGGGCATGCCCGTATAGCTCCCTCCGCCGCCCCCCTCTTTGTAGGACAGAACTCTAGCTACGGCCCTGCCTTCCCAGAACACAGATCACTATATATGTGTCCCAGAATAAAATCCATATAGATGGTAGTTTTCCAATTACAGCACTAGAGTGCATTATGCGGCATAATGCTTAACGTTGAATTTTTCAACTGCAGCAACGCTTCGCACAATCGAGCCCTCTCAAAAGTAATGTTTTCGTGTGATGCGTGCAATCGTACCAACTCAGTGACTGAAAATTAAGTGTTTTTTCTTTAAGTTGGCATTGATCGATATGTTTTAAATAACGTTAGTAATATTATTTATTATTGAAATGTTTTTAAAGCTTTCGCTTCATTGTAGTTTTTTTAAAAAAAACAATGTTAATTCGAACTGTGTTAAAAAAAAAAGTATGGATGAAGGTAGAAAGATTAACTTTTTTTAAATACTGAACTTAGCGCGCTCTGCTTGTGCATTTAAAAACTAATTCACTTTCCAATTATGAATCAGCATAATTCGGCATTGTACGCCACTGAGTCGCATTATGCTCTGTAATTGGAAAATATATAGCTGCCCTATCCATGCCATGCCATGTGTTAGGTGTTTTCCTTCCATTAGAATAAAAATATAAAAAAAGGTAAATGTCATGTTGACATTTTTGCCAAAAAAATGACATGATTCGACAAAAAATAACCTATAGTTTTTGTTTCTACTAGGTTTCTAACCTATACGGAATAATTTCCCACAGTACAAAACGCTGTTAGAAAGTTATACGTGCTGTGATAACTTTCACTTTCAACGTCATCGCACTACTGCTTTCCATGACGCTTCAACTGCTACGCGGCATACGTAATTCATTTGCAATTCGAATTCAAAATTGTACACATTTCGGACGCCATTGTAGGTTCTTACGTAGCCAATACCGTTATTTGGAGTGGGGACCCAGGGGTGCGAGGGGGGCACGTATCGGCGGCACGGTTGGAGCTCGAGTTCACTCTGTCACTCGGTCATTACGGTATTTTTCTGTTGTGCGTCCCACATTCACGAACGTGAAAGAAAAAGTGACAATGCCCGAAAACAAACCTTTTCAGCGACTTCCAAAGGATGTTGTACCTAAGCATTATAATTTAGAATTAACACCAAATCTTGAAACATTAACGTTTACAGGAAAAACAGCAGTGAAAGTATCGGTAAGAGGGATTTTCTTAACTACACTGTTGCAAATGTCTCGTTTTCATGTGCCGTGTTATGTACTCGCATTCACTTTCAGATTGTGAATACGACCAAAGAAATAGTTGTTAACTGCTTGGATTTGGAATTGAAGAATGTCAAACTGCAGTACAATGAGGGCGGAACTGATTTGACGTTGAACCCGGTAGAAGTCAGCCTCAGCACGTCTGATGAAACAGCACGTATCGTATTCGATAAGGTCTTGCCGAAGGGCGAGGCCAAGCTGTTTTGCGAATTCAATGGCGAGATAAATGATAAGATGAAGGGTCTGTATCGGAGTAAATATATGACCCCAGGAGGGGAGGAGCGTTACGCCGCCGTAACCCAGTTTGAAGCGACGGATGCGCGACGGTGTTTCCCATGCTGGGACGAGCCCGCCATCAAAGCCACGTTCGATATCACACTGGACGTGCCGGCCGACCGTGTCGCCCTATCCAACATGCCAGTCAAGGAGGAAAAGGTCAATGGTGATAAGAAGCTGATTCATTTTGACACAACTCCCATCATGTCCACTTATCTTGTAGCTGTTGTTGTTGGTGAATATGACTATGTGGAGAAAAAATCGCGGGATGGTGTGTTAGTTCGTGTGTACACTCCAGTCGGAAAAAGCAAGCAAGGCATATTTGCTTTAGAAGTTGCTGCCAAAGTCTTGCCTTATTACAAAGAGTACTTTGAAATTGCTTATCCCTTGCCCAAGATAGATTTGATAGCCATAGCAGATTTCTCTGCAGGAGCTATGGAAAACTGGGGACTGGTCACTTATAGAGAGACTTGTTTACTAGTAGATGAAGAGCACACTTCAGCAGTGCGTAGACAGTGGATAGCCTTAGTAGTGGGCCATGAGCTGGCCCACCAGTGGTTTGGGAACCTTGTCACAATGGAATGGTGGACCCATCTCTGGTTGAATGAGGGATATGCCTCTTTTGTTGAGTTCCTTTGTGTTAACCACTTATTCCCTGAGTATGACATTTGGACCCAGTTTGTTACTGAAACTTATATCAGGTATCTTTAAATTTTTTGTCAACAAAGGATTATTTTCATTGTAATTTTATGCAAAGTCATTTACAAAAGTTTGCATTGAGTTTGGATAAATGCCAAGGATGTATATCCATTATGTTGGTGAAGGTGTAATCTTTGATATGATATTTGTTATATATATTTTAGGGCATTGGAGCTGGACTGTTTGAAGAATTCACATCCTATAGAGGTGCCTGTGGGTCACCCTTCTGAAATAGATGAAATTTTTGATGACATTTCTTATAATAAAGGTGCTTCCGTTATCCGTATGCTGCACAGATATATTGGTGACGATGATTTCAGGAAAGGGATGAATGTCTACTTAACTAGACATCAGGTAGCTTTCATTAAATATTTTCATTGAAATCCCAATTAATATAAAGACACTAAGGCTCATATTACAGAATGCAAACCAAGTGTTGGTTGCTATGTGCTATACAGAGCGACATCCCTTACTGTACCCAACTAAGCTGTCTTGTTTGTTTTAGTATAAAAACACATTCACTGAAGATTTATGGGCTGCCTTAGAAGAAGCTTCCAATAAGCCAGTTGGTGCAGTTATGTCAACTTGGACTAAACAAATGGGTTTTCCAATGGTGCAGGTTCGTAATTATTTCTGTTAATTTATGCAACTTATCTCTATTATTATAATAAATCTCATGCTCATATCTATCTATCTTATAAAAAATACATTAATTCACAATATGATATGAACACTATTTGGATCAATCATTCTACAATGTATATATTTTTATCGTTCCTTCTATTTTATGGAAATTCATTGTCCAGAAAATGGTTTAGCCACACATTATTATGATATACTTATACATTGTTACAGCAATGTTGTGTACTAGTTTATTTCCAGGCATCAACCTTATTCTCTATGGTTCGAAGGACTTTTCCTTTGTTTAAGGTTGTTGTGATCAGGTTTGCTTATTATTTGCAGGTGACCTCTGAGCAAAGAGGACCAGATCGTGTCCTTAATCTTACTCAACAGAAGTTTTGTGCTGATGGCAGTGTAGGTGATGATACACTTTGGATGGTACCTATCACCATTTCAACACAGGAACAACCATCAAAGGTAGGTAATCAAGTGTTACAACAGCAAGGACATGCTGAAATGTACAATTTATTACTTATCAGTATATTTCTGCTATAGTTGTCAGCAAAAGCTTATAGTACGAGAGCCCACGACCAAAATTTTTGTCTCATAGCAATACGGCCAAAACCGCATGAAATCGATAGATACGATTATCTTGAACTCCAAAATACCAATATCAGACATTTTCCGCGTAGCGTTTGATCTGACCGAATTTTCAAAATTGTCAAAGAATTTTACCGAACTGCATCATAGCAATATGTCTGATTTGCAGACTGTAGTTGAATGATAGTTCTGAGATACCGGAAACATATTTTTCAGACGTTAGTGGTGTAGCGCAAACCCGTAAAATCACTTAAAAAAATTAAAAATGAGACAAAAAAAATGTCTCATAGCAATACGTCTGAAAATCTTTTTTATTGTCTGAAAACAAACTTTTTCGTAATACAATTATAAAATCTATGTACATTTTCACTATCAGACATATTGCTATAATACCGACTGTCTTTTTTTTTTGACACAGCAGAAATGGCCTCCCACGCAGTTGCTACACTTTCGACCGTTACTACACACCTAGTCGGGTTCAGAATCATACAATCTAACGATTTTATAGGGTTTTTGCCGTATTGCTATGAGACATGGTTTTGGTTGTGGGCTCTCGTACTATTATCATAAAATCAACATTGACATACATTTATTTACATACAACAATATAGATAAGTAGAGAAAACGAATATCTTTGTTGTACAGGAAACCCATTAAATCGAAATGAGTTGAAAATAAAAGTAGACTCAGTTATTCCTTTGCATTAAGCCTTTAATGTGATTCCATCAGTCCATTGAGGGTTTGTGATGATAATTGATTAATTAAAACACACTAATGGACTTTTGAATGTTTCCTTTTTACTAGCATTTAAATCAAATATTTATTATTTCTTTTGCAATTGAACTACTAAAAAAATTTTTTTAAAATAACACAGTACACAGATTTTACTGATCAACCAATAATTTTGCTTCCGAAACTTTGAACGCGATTGTAAGTCTACTTGTTTTAAATGTCATTGACATTTACACATAATTAGGATTACTTATTTTAATTAAAATTTACAATACGCACACCATCATTTACAAACTTATCAAATGGACAGACTTTAATTAAAATTTACAATATGCACACAATCATTTACAAACTTATCTAATTTTCGAACACTGACAGTGAGTAAAGTTAAACTTGCTGTAGACTGTGATTTGAAGGACTACAAATTCATGCTGCATATTTGCATTTGAATTGTAATTACTTCGCAGTCCCGTTGAACTACACTGTCTGCGTTGCTTAGCACTCCCTCTAAATTAGTTCGAAGCAGTGCTGTTGCTTACCTCTTGCCACAGGTTGCTAATGTTATTTCTTGTGTTCTATTTCTTTTCGAGTCAAAACATGTCTGTGTCCATGCTAAAGAATTTAAATAACTAGAACATTGGTATTTAATCAACATAGTGCATATATTGTTCACCATTCCAAGCCGGACAAGAAGCTGCATACACTCAAAGAAATCTCTTTGACACACAATATCATATGATTAATATATCACCAAGTCAATGTAGGTATGCAATACATATCAGAAACATAGTTAACAGCTATAATAATGATGAGCTTACTATAAAGCTTTTTCTTTTCTAGGTTGCCCTGTCAACTGTATTGGAGAAAAGGACTCAAGAAGTAGTATTGGAAAATGTTGCGGAGTCTTCATGGGTTAAACTTAATCCTGGGACAGTAAGTATCGCATTTCAACGTTAATTCATTTCAACTTAGGGCAAATTTTTGGATTTATTTTGGTTTATGAGGACACATATCTCAGCATGTCAAGTTGTGCAACTCTGTAATTAGCTTCAGATTTATTTAATGAAGTTTTATTTGATTGTGTTAATAAAATAAGCTGTTCATTTTCGAAATAATTAGATACAAATAAAGCATGTGACCAGCTCTACCACATTACTACATTGGTATGAATATTATTTTCCGAACTTACCTAATAAATAACTAGTTTATGGACTTAGTGTCGGGAAATTATATAGAACGTGTAAAATAAAAACGGCCATGCATGCTTGAGAAACACTAGTTTCAGTTTATTATTTTTCTTATTAAATCATTTACATAGTGTCTATGACACTCTCCATTGAGTTTATATCCTCAACACTTAGTATATATGAACTTTACATATGAATGAAATATGAGGTTTAGCTATTTACATAAGTAGGTAAATATGTCGATCATCAATAAAAGTTGGATTCAATTATCTAAATTTACCTTAACTTCGTACCAATAAAATTACATAGAATAGAACCCTTGATCGTAGTTTGTTCCCGGCAGGTGGGTTACTATCGCACGCGGTACCCGCCATCGATGCTGGAGAAGCTTGTTACGGCAGTACGCGACGGGTCGTTACCACCGCTCGACCGACTCGGGCTGCTCGACGACTGCTTCGCGCTCGTACAGGCGGGGCACACGCCCACTGCGGAGGTAGGTTTATACTGCGGGACTACAGATATCTAACCGGCGTGAAGGCAACAGAAGTTAGTGACGGCAGTATGCGACGGGTCGTTGCCGCCGCTCGTCCGACTCGGACAGCGCGACAATTGCTTCGCGCTCGTACAGGCGGGGCACACGCCCACTGCGGAGGTAGGTTCATACTGCGGGACTACAGATATCTAACCGGCATTAAGGCAACAGAAGTTAGTGACGGCAGTATGCGACGGGTCGTTGCCGCCGCTCGTCCGACTCGGACTGCGCGACGATTGCTTCGCGCTCGTACAGGCGGGGCACACACCCACTGCGGAGGTAGGTTAATACTGCGGGACTACAGATATCTAACCGGCGTTAAGGCAACAGAAGTTAGTGACGGCAGTATGCGACGGGTCGTTGCCGCCGATCGTCCGACTCGGACTGCGCGACGATTGCTTCGCGCTCGTACAGGCGGGGCACACGCCCACTGCGGAGGTAGGTTTCTACTGCGGGACTACAGATATTTAACCGGCGTTAAGGCAATAGAAGTTAGTGACGGCAGTATGCGACGGGTCGTTGCCGCCGCTCGTCCGACTCGGACTGCGCGACGATTGCTTCGCGCTCGTACAGGCGGGGCACACACCCACTGCGGAGGTAGGTTAATACTGCGGGACTACAGATATCTAACCGGCGTTAAGGCAACAGAAGTTAGTGACGGCAGTATGCGACGGGTCGTTGCCGCCGATCGTCCAACTCGGACTGCGTGGCGATTGCTTCGCACTCGTACAGGCGGGGCACACGCCCACTGCGGAGGTAGGTTTATACTGCGGGACTACAGATATATAGAACCGGCGCTTATTCTACAGAAGTTAGTGACGGCAGTACGCGACGGGTCGTTGCCGCCGCTTGTCCGACTCGGACTGCTCGACGACTGCTTCGCGCTCGTACAGGCGGAGCACACGCCCACTGCGGAGGTAGGTTTATACTGCGGGACTACAGATAACTAACCGGCGTTAAGGCAACAGAAGTTAGTGACGGTAGTATGCGACGGGTCGTTGCCGCCGCTCGTCCGACTCGGACAGCGCGACAATTGCTTCGCGCTCGTACAGGCGGGGCACACGCCCACTGCGGAGGTAGGTTCATACTGCGGGACTACAGATATCTAACCGGCATTAAGGCAACAGAAGTTAGTGACGGCAGTATGCGACGGGTCGTTGCCGCCGCTCGTCCGACTCGGACTGCGCGACGATTGCTTCGCGCTCGTACAGGCGGGGCACACACCTACTGCGGAGGTAGGTTAATACTGCGGGACTACAGATATCTAACCGGCGTTAAGGCAACAGAAGTTAGTGACGGCAGTATGCGACGGGTCGTTGCCGCCGATCGTCCGACTCGGACTGCGCGACGATTGCTTCGCGCTCGTACAGGCGGGGCACACGCCCACTGCGGAGGTAGGTTTATACTGCGGGACTACAGATATCTAACCGGCGTTAAGGCAATAGAAGTTAGTGACGGCAGTATGCGACGGGTCGTTGCCGCCGCTCGTCCGACTCGGACTGCGCGACGATTGCTTCGCGCTCGTACAGGCGGGGCACACACCCACTGCGGAGGTAGGTTTATACTGCGGGACTACAGATATCTAACCGGCGTTAAGGCAACAGAAGTTAGTGACGGCAGTATGCGACGGGTCGTTGCCGCCGCTCGTCCGACTCGGACTGCGCGACGATTGCTTCGCGCTCGTACAGGCGGGGCACACGCCCACTGCGGAGGTAGGTTTATACTGCGGGACTACAGATAACTAACCGGCGTTAAGGCAACAGAAGTTAGTGACGGCAGTATGCGACGGGTCGTTGCCGCCGCTCGTCCGACTCGGACAGCGCGACAATTGCTTCGCGCTCGTACAGGCGGGGCACACGCCCACTGCGCAGGTAGGTTTATACTGCGGGACTACAGATATCTAACCGGCGTTAAGGCAACAGAAGTTAGTGACGGCAGTATGCGACGGGTCGTTGCCGCCGCTCGTCCGACTCGGACAGCGCGACAATTGCTTCGCGCTCGTACAGGCGGGGCACACGCCCACTGCGCAGGTAGGTTTATACTGCGGGACTACAGATATCTAACCGGCGTTAAGGCAACAGAAGTTAGTGACGGCAGTATGCGACGGGTCGTTGCCGCCGCTCGTCCGACTCGGACTGCGTGGCGATTGTTTCGCACTCGTACAGGCGGGGCACACGCCCACTGCGGAGGTAGGTTTATACTGCGGGACTACAGATATATAGAACCGGCGCTTATTCTACAGAAGTTAGTGACGGCAGTACGCAACGGGTCGTTTCCGCCGCTCGTCCGACTCGGACTGCTCGACGACTGCTTCGCGCTCGTACAGGCGGGGCACACGCCCACTGCGGACGTAGGTTCATACTGCGATCCCACAGATATTTAGACCCGGCGTCTATACTACATAAATTAGTGACGGCAGTATGCGACGGGTCGTTACCATCGCTCGACCGACTCGGGCTGCTCGACGACTGCTTCGCGCTCGTACAGGCGGGGCACACGCTCACTGCGGAGGTAGGGTTATACTGCGATCCCACAGATATTTAGACCCGGCGTCTATACTACATAAGTTAGTGACGGCAGTATACGACGGGTCGTTACCATCGCTCGACCGACTCGGGCTGCTCGACGACTGCTTCGCGCTCGTACAGGCGGGGCACACGCCCACTGCGGAGGTAGGGTTATACTGCGGACCTACAGATATAGAACCGGTTTCTATACTACAGAAATTAATGACGGCTGTACGCGCGGGTCGTTGCTAGGGGTCGCAATACCGAATCATTTCAGCAAAACCGGTATTTTCGGTATTGGCTCTAGACCAATACCGATAATCCGGTATTTTCGATATTTCCGGGATTAAGCTAAAGTTAGCAAAATTAAGTATAATAAAGTTAGTTTGCGGAGGAATAGTAAGTAGGTACCTAACCTAAATAAATTTATCTTCTAAATAAAACAAAATACTCATTGACTCAAGGTTTATTGTTTGATATGTTGGTAATCAATCAGTTAGTTCTTTGCAATAATTTACTAATACTAAATGCCACACAATTATTGTCAACAAAGGGCAAAGCTATAAAAATAAGTCGAAAACAATTGCGGTAGAAACCATTAATTAAACGTTTATTTATATCGTTATTTCTATCTTAGCTATTTGCAGTTCAATACATACAATACAAATAAGAAAAATATTTGCACTTATTTCTCTTTCCACAAGCAGCTCTTTTCAAAAATAATTAAAACCCCCATACTTTCACGACATGCAATATAATAATTTTAAATCATTTACTTACCAATTTGACTGTTTCTTTCTAAATTCCGGGTGTGGATAACAAAAACAAACCACAACACCAACAAAACACGCAATGACGAATGACGATGCCGAAATGTAAACAGTTGAAATAGAAAATTTGACACTTTTCGGTCGCAACGCAACTTACTTAAATTCACTCTACTTGTTACTTGTTGTGGGCCGCCGTTTCCGCACATATACTCCGTCCTTGGTCCATTGTGCGTGCAGGGTATGTTGAGCTAGCTAGCTCAGCCAGGCCAGCTCCTTCCAGAAGCGCAGTAGCCTCCTGGGGCTCTCACAGGCTTCTAGGAGCGTCCACGGCTTCCTGAGGATTGATGCCCGGTATTCTGCAACGCTCATGCATTCCAGGATCACAAGAGCGGCCGTTTCATCTGCTTCCAGACATCCACTGCGCAGAGAACTATCTGTAACGCGTATGGTTATGTGTGGTTCGTTGCCGCACCCATGTACGAAACTGATTGAAAGGTAAGTGGCGCAGGGCCTTCCACTCTCTGTGATGATCCCCTTCTTGCTAGTTCGTCGGCTGCGTCATTACCCACAGAACTGCTATGTCCCTTGATCCATTGGAGGATAACCTTGTTATCCGTTGCTATGTACTCCAATGTCAGGTGACATTCGTATACTAGCCCAGAAGTTTTGCTGTTGCTATCTAGGGCTCTTAGGACGGCCATACTATCAGATAATATACGTATCTTGTAGTTTTTGACTTTCCTATTAATAACAGCGCTGGCGGCCTGATTAATGGCTATACATTCGCATTGGAATATTGAGCTGTGATTACCCAGTGCTGTTGATATATGGATGCTAAGGTCCAGTGAAAAGACTCCGGCGCCTGATCCGAATCCTGGTATTTTGGATCCATCAGTGTAAATGCGTAGTTCGTCTGTGCCCGACCAGTCCTTGTTAGTTTCTAGTAGTTCTATTTGATATCTTCTATCAAATGTAAGAGTAATCGAGATTTTATCACAGCGAGCTGTTACCAGAGGTTGGTATTGTATAGCCCTTTCCAAAATTTTGGACTGATGTCCCTGGTTTCCCGTCCACAAGCTCAGATGATACATTCTTAGCGCTGCCGTAGTTGTATAAACAGGTCGAGTGGCGGGAGGTCAAGCGCTATTTCTAGGGCATTTGTGGGTGTGGATTTTTATGCAGTCTGTTATAGCAGAGCATGCTAGTCTTTGAAAACGCTGAAGTTTATTAATTGCAGTGTTGAGTTCGGTTCTAGGCCAACAAACTATTGCACCGTAGGTGATGAGTGGTCTGATTATGGTTGTGTAAAGCCATTTTGTGATTTTTGGTGCAAGACCTCAGGTTTTACCAAGTAGAATTTTGCATTGCCAAAACGTGATACAGGCTTTCTTTATCTTTTGGTCTAAGTGGCTGTTCCATGTTAGCTTATGATCAAGAACTATGCCTAGATATTTGACCTCGCTTGACATAGACAGTTCGGTATTAAATAACTTGGGCAATTTAACCGTATCCAAGTTACATTTTTTCGTGAACATTACCATCTCTGTTTTGGTCGGATTCACCGATAACCAACTATCGGTGAATCCGACCAAACACCAGGTTTAGTACATCAGGCTTCGACTATCTTGAGAGCGTTACTCATTAAGTTGCACAGCACATTCTGGAATGGCCCGCTTATGAGGATAACTAGGTCGTCCGCATAGCCAACTGTGTAGTAGTTGCGTTGATTGAGTTGGCAAATTAATTCGTTAACCACAATGTTCCACAGGAGAGGAGAGTGGGCAACCCCGTGCCACTACAGCTCTCTTCGTGGTGTTCACAGTCACTTGTATTGCTCTGTATTTTAGCATGTTATTGATCCACCCCGCAGTCGTGAGGTCAACTCCATGTCTGACAAGTGCTTGGCTGATGCTGGTAAAGTTTGTTTTATCAAAGGCGCCTTCAATGTCAATGAAGACTCCGAGCGTTGATTGTTTTGGTGATAATCCACGTTCTATTCGAACTACTACTATGTCTGACTACGTTGTGTAATGCGGATTCGGTGGATTTGCCCATGCTGTAGGCGTGTTAAATTGCATGAAGTGGTACACGCTTTAGAGCATCATCTCTCAAGTTCCTGTCACACATTCTCTCCAGCACCTTTAGGAGGAATGATGTGAGATTTATCGGTCTGAATGCTTTAGGTTGCGAGAAGTCACTTTTGCCTGGTTTGGGTATGAATATAACTTTAACCTCTCTCCACTTAGTTGGTATGTACCGATAGGCAAGGCATCCTGTGTAAATTCGCAGTAGATGCTCGAGTATCGATTCTTCGCACCATTGCAGTAGGCCCGGAAAGATGCCATCCAGTCCAGCTGCTTTAAAAGGGAGGAAGTTTTTGATGGCCCAAGTTAATGTGTTGATTTTAATGATTTGCGTGCAGTTGTCCAGTCAGCTAAATCCGGAACCGCGGATATCTCATCATCACATTCTTGGTTGTCTTTAGTGTTACAGCCTGGGAAGTGAGTTAAACTTACTCACTTGCACCGTTCTCGCCACGACATTGGCTCGTTCGCTAATCATTGCGCGGGAAGTTCGTCTTGTTTTAAGGCGAACGAACTCGCGCGCGCGCGTATTTTGAATTAAATGGCAAGTAACTTTTTCTATTTGTATTTGTTATTTATTTATTTTACTAAAACCGAAAATACCGAATATCCCGGTTTTTGTGAAATGAATACCGGTATTAATTAGACCTAAATTTGACCCGGTATTCCGGTATTTTCGAAATTCGGTATCCCGGTTTGCGACCCCTAGTCGTTGCCCCTGCTTGACCGACTCGGGCTGCTCGACGACTGCTTCGCGCTCGTACAGGCGGGACCTCTGAATAATAATTTACAAAGAAGGAATGTTAAATAAAATAGCAACAATATGCAAACTTTCTTCCTACTTTTACCAATAAGCCCTATATGTCTTGGAAAGAGATAGATATTGTCACTTTTGTTTCGGCATTACGTCATGCAACTAGTGCGAACATCGTGTATTGTTCATATAATTCAATTGACTTTTAATTTGCAGTCCCTGAAGCTGATGGAAGCGTTCAGCAACGAGACCAACTTCACTGTGTGGTCGTCGATCTCGAACTGTCTATCGAAACTGAGCGCGCTATTCTCGCACACGGAACTTGACAAGCCTTTGAAGAAATATGGCCGCAAATTATTCGCGAACGTGACTCGCCGTCTCGGATGGGATGCGGAGGAGAAAGAGAGCCATCTGGATACGTTACTCAGGAGTCTGGTGCTCAATAAGATGATCAGCTTCGAGGATCCGGACACTATTAAAGAGGCTAAGAGTCGGTAAGTCGGTTTTCCTGATGAATAAATCTTTCACAGTCATTAGTGTATTATATGTATTATGTGTATTATAGTATTAGTACTATAATTATAAATTAGCTAACGGAAGTGTTACCATGTACCCTGTATATTGCATGTCTCCAATATCAGAGATTGAAAAAAACAAGTGTTCGGGTAGGTAGTTAGTTACTAAGAGACGTCGAAAGTTGCTTCCGCCTCGGATACTCCCGCTACGCCACTGCTAAGTCAACTTATATATATTAGAAGATCGCAACCCTATGCTGCCATTACAAAAAAAGCGAGTGTGCTTTTAAGCAAGCGACTGAAGTGAAACTTCTTTAGTTCCAATGATCTGAAAATTATAAACTTAACCTGAAGATTTGTTGATAGAAAAAAAACCACCAATCCGCGCTGGGTCCGTTATCACCCTTGAATCCGCACTGGGTCCATTATCACCCAGCAATCCGCACTGGGTCTGTTATCACCCACCAATCCGCGCTGGGTCCGTTATCACCCACCAATCCGCACTGGATCCATTGTCACCCACCAATCCGCACTGGGTCCCTTGTCACCCACCAATCCGCGTTGGGTTCGTTATCACCCTCTAAACCGCAGTGGGTCCGCTATCACCCACCAATCCGCACTGGGTCCGTTATCACCCACCAATCCGCGCTGGGTACGTTATCTCCCACCAAGCCCTAGATTCATGTATTGTGTGACGGGTATTGTTTACCGATGAGTAACCGGTTATGAGTTACGCGCGTAACGCAAAAATCGTCACACATTCGCCAGTTTACTCCCCAAATCAAGTGTGCCTAAAGAAGTTTCACTTCAAAAACCGTTTGCGGTTTGGATAATCGGTATAAAGTGCTCGGTCGTTCTATGTTCTCAGGTTCGAAAAGCATCTGTCAGGTGAAGCGCCTCTAGCGGCAGATCTGCGATCGGCGTGCTACCGCGCCGTACTAGCTAACGCGGACGAGGAAACGTTCGAGCGGTTCCTGCGTTTGTACCGCGCGGCCGATTTACACGAGGAGAAGGATCGCGTGAGCCGCGCGCTAGGCGCCGTCACGCGGCCCGCGCTGCTGCATCGGGTACTCTCCTTCGCCGTGTCGGTGAGTATACAGGCAGTCCTCGTACTTACGGCATGTTTGGTTCTCGAAATACGCGACGTAAGTTGAGACATATTTTCATATGTTTACATATAAAACTCAAGGGATAGTATACACACGGACTTCGAATGTCTTGTTTAGTTCGCATGGTTAGATTAAAATTCACTTTAATATGTATGTAAAAACAAAAAGTAGACACTTTTTTGTAAAAAAAAAGATGCAAAAAAAATAATATTTGAAACCTCATCTTATATTAGTAAAAATAGAAATAAAACCTACTTACTACAAAAGGAATAAGCCATTTGAACATTATGTTCTTAAATCAAATCAAATTTCACGAAATCACTCCCACAAATAGGGTATTTGCCGAATTTTTGAAAACTGTTTATTTTAAAGATTGGTACAAACGATTTATCAGAAAAATAAATTATTTAATGTCTTTTTTTCTCCATTACACCATTAATTGGTCTAACAGAGTTGAATTTATTTTTAATGGTTTTGAATTTACCGCAAAGACGCTGGGTTCGATTACGTCTACTGTGTGACGTCAACTTTGTGTATGCTATGTAATCATCTGAAATTTATAGTATTATACTAACACATTTTGAAACTCTAAAGCACAGAGATCGGGATTAGTAGCGAAGAAATTTGCAAAGTATTATTAAGTAAAGTATTATATCAGAAATCAATCAATCAGAAATCAATATATTTTTATTCAAATAAAAATTTTTCCCTACCACTCGTTATGGACATATTTTTTAGCTGCGGAAAAAACGAGCGAAAAATCTCGACAACATTAAAAGTCTAATGTAACAACATTTACAAATCATTATGTTGTTACAACGTCAATACAATTATGATTTATGTAATATAGAAAACCTGTTGGAATGATTGGACAAGTTCAAACCCAAGCATTTTTGTCTGTAATATAATCAGACACTTTGTAATAAGCTATTTTAATAAGTGCTTTTTTTATATCTTTAAATTTATTTATGGCTAACTCTTGGATATTGCTTGGGAATTTATTGAATAAGAACACAAAGACCTTTAAATGAATTGTTAATTTTGTGAAGCCTAGTAGCAGGTAAAGTTAGTTTATTTTTGTTTCTTGTATTAATTGTGTGAACATCACTGTTTTTAAGAAACAAATTAATATTTTTTCTTACAAGTAATAAAGGAGATTGCTCAGCTTCCATACATGTTTGGCCTAAAAACCAATAACCATGAAAAATTGTTTCCTAGATTCGAAATTATATATAAATTACCGTAGAAACGAATATTATCGACGGCCACTCCTGAGAACTTTTATAAACCATATACACTGAATGATTTTGAGGTTATGTTTGCAAATAGGCACATAGGTATTAGAATAATAAAAACCAAATAACTTATATAGGAAAATAGGGCAATCAAGCCAAGTACCGATATTATGTATTAGATTCAAGTATATAGAGCATGTAAAATAACAGATAATTGCCTGTTTTTAAAATTAATGCACAAGAGTAAGTTTTAAAATCATGATTATGCCATTGCGACTTTCAGAAGCAATCTTGTTTCATTTGACAAGTGTCTAACACTAATTACACAAAATGCATGTCAAGGAACTGGTACCTGCTTACCTATGTTATGAGAAACATGGAACTGTTATCATAATTTTATAAAAACCAATAGGATATTTTCTTAGTAATAATTAGGTTTATAATGGTAAAAGGTAATTCTAATGTAATAATATATTGCGTAGGTTCATGATAGTTCTGATCAATGTGTGAAATATGTATATTCCTGACATAGCTTAAATATTCTGATAAGGTAAATTAATGAAATAAAACAACTTAAGTACTTTTATGTTGCGTTTAATATTACATATCATCTACATTTTGAATTAAAATATCATCGAAATATTTTATCAATCTTTACAAAATAGATTTGTTTTGATGTTATATAAACAACCTCGATCAGTCTTTGTGAATGTTACTACACCCATAGCCAATAAAAATGATTCGTATGTTTTCCAAACCGGTAAAAATAGAAGTCCTTTTTTAAAATTAATATATTATTTAAAAGTGGCCGTTAAAATCTAATGACTGTAAAATAAAGTATAAATTACGCCAAGAATTACTGTATATGTCAATATTTTATTTGCATTTAGGCCAATTTGACCAATCTCCTTTTTTATTCCAATTATTCCAAATTCTTTAAACTTATCTCTTAACGATTCTTTAACTTATATTTAAGTAAATACTGGTGTCGATTCTAGCATGATTCTCTTAACCTAAACTTAAATTTGACAGCAGTATATCCTTGTCATTCTCTATACAGAATGAAAAGGTGAGACTGATGTTAAATTTAGTTTTAAGTTTAGAGAATCACGCCAGAATTGGCACCACTATAAATTTATCCGGAACGTAAAAACAAAAAAACTAATTTGACCTTCAGATGATTACATAGAATACACAAAGTTGACGTCACTCAGCAGACGTCATAGAACCGAGCGTTTTGGCTGTAAATTTAAAACCATTAAAAATAAATTAAACTTTAGTTGGTATAATGGAGAAAAAAACCTCTTTAAATAAAAGCAGTTTTCTAAAGTTTGGAAAATACCCAATTGCAGGAAAGCGAGAGGAAAGATGTTACACATCAAAAACTATTGTGTTATGTTATGAGTGTCCGTTGTCCCTGAACTAACTAAACAAAATCAGCAGCATGTGCGGGATAATCCCCGCTCGCTGACACCGCGCCCCACGGAAATTGACCTCGCGACATGTGATTTCTCCTATGCCGGAAATCGAAACAATTGACGTATGTTTGAGAAATAGTGTCAAAACATTGTTCGACGTAACTTTAAACGGCGTAAGTCAGGGACTGCCTGTATAAAGAATAACAGAAATAACGCACAGCCTGAAAGAATTCCAATAAAAAAAAAGTATCTTAAAAATAAATACAAATGAATTTAATTTAATCATTATTAAACAAAATATTATGATACACAATGCAACGTTATAAGGACTATTTTTAAATGCAACGGTACATTCAATAATTTGACTAACAGACATGACTGATTAAAGAATAAAAATTATTGAAATGGATTCATTTGTATATTTGTAACAGACTATTTTTAGAGCGCGCCTTATTTTTGATAAAAGTTGTATAGGGTCGCGTACACTGCGCTCCCACGCGTCGGTATCCGTACACTGTCTTCGCGTCTGGACTTCACTGTCACTTCAGGTGACACTGACACTAACATCAGGTGGAGAGGAGTCATTTGTCGGACCAATCGATAAGAATAAAAAAAAAAACTAACGCGCGTTGCCCCAACCAGCATGAGTCGAACCCATACACGTAATGATGGACAGGACTGCGCTTTCCCTAATCAACTGTCAAGCGAAACTGGGCAAAGAAGTGAGAGATAGACGAGGCGATAGGGCTGCCCATAGTTTGTTTATCTTTGGTCGTTGTTTGTCTCTTTCTAAAAAGTTATTTTATTACGAGTCTCCTCAGTCCTATACAAATAGAAAATGGACTAACCGACTCTCATATGAATTGGGCGGCCCTTTAGAAAAAGAGAACAGCCAACTCCTATACGAACTATGAACCTCCAGATAGCTTTGCCTCTTTCACACTTTCTTTTGCTTGGTTACGAATTTGTCCCGCAATAGTTAACAGCTTTGATTTTAAACACGCCTAGATACCTTTAACTGCACTGAAGCGGTTAAAAAATATCTACTACATATGGTAGATATGCTCGTCGCTACACAAGCACACATTTTCAAACAATGGGGCATTAGGGTCACCCACAAATTGCGTGAAACATGAGCCGTTTCCGTTGCGTAGTTTATTTGGATTGCAGCTAGAGCAATAGAGGCGTGTATATTATCAAAGGTTGACAGATTACAATGTTACTCTATATTATGCTTACATTAATATTATAATTTCATCTATTTTAGAAAGAAAGAAAAACATTTTCTGCTAACGTTATAATTTAATTTATTATTTCAGGAGGAAGTCCGTTCCCAAGACACAGTTTTCGTCATAGTTTCGGTGGCGGTGAGCAAAAACGGGCGTGATCTAGCCTGGCAGTTCTTCAAGGACCACTGGAAGGAGTTCATGGAAAGATACCAGGTGCGGCCTTATTCTTAATCTATACTAATGTAATTGTTACGTGTTCCCTCCTTCCTATAATCTGGGGTCCTTTAAGAGAGGCGTGAAGAAGCATTTTTGCAAGCCGGCAAGGTGAGGATCTTGGCGTAGCAGTTTTTAACTGCTGTACCAGCTATCTGCGCGTTTGGCTTTTATCACCACTTAATACCAGGTGGGGTATAGTTATTTGCCTACCTCGCTATAAAAAAGAATGTTAAAAAACCGGCCAAGTGCGATGCAGACTCGCGCACGAAGGGTTCCTTATACCATTATCTATATAACATTAGACACTATATTATATTAAAATATTGAGCAAAAAATCACTTTTGTGGTATGCAATATTTAAGGGGGGACTTTTTTATTTGAATTAAATTATTTATTTTTAAATGGGAGCTTGAATTATTTAATTTGAAGTTTTTATCCTTATTATTTCTTTTATTGGTAACGGGGATATAGCGCGATTTATTGACAGACTTCGTAGTTGATTTGAAGGGGACAGGTATTCTTGTTAAAATTAATTTAGAAACAAGAATTTTTAAATGTTTTTGCATTAAAACATCAGACAGTACAAAGTAATGTTACTTCGACAGCATGTTCACAAACAGGTACCGTTATTTGATGTGACAATTGATCAAAAAATACTTCTCTATTTCGTGATTTTTAGTAATATTATCAGCAACTTTTTTATTTTTGTCCTAATCGTGAAATCTCTTTCAATATTCATGTAAATACACATGCCAATAATTGGTCCTGTTTATTTCATACTGTAGAATAGGCTATTTTCCATCCTTTTCTTTTGTAAGTGACTGTGTGATTCTACTCGTATAGTGTATCTGTACATAATTTTGCTACTGTCTCAAAGAATGTTATCGTATCCTTGATGTCCGTAATAAAGAACTATTATTATATTTGTATTGTTTATCGTGTCTATCAGGGTGGTTTCCTCCTCTCGCGCCTAGTGAAATCGACCACAGAGAACTTCGCATCCGAAGCGCACGCGCAAGAGATAGAAGAATTCTTCCGAACGCACCATTCGCCCGGCACCGAACGGTCCGTGCAACAAGCGTTAGAAACCGTACGGCTCAACGCTGCTTGGCTGCGGCGCGATCTGGATTCCACTGCCAAGTATCTCGCCGCCTACCACTGACGGTGAGGAAACTAACATTTATGGATACTTCAACAGAATTACAGGGTTCACATAACACAATACGAGATAAAATACATTGTCAACAAGGTCACGAGTTAGTTCAGCAGGCGTTAGATTACTATTTAATGATTTTATAGAAAAGTTATTAATTATTGGTTCTTTCAGAATAGTAAAATTGCTGCTGATATTATTTTATATTATTTTAAATACAGATGCCAACGATTGGTTCATTATTTTTCATACCGTCAAATAGCCTATTCACGAGAAGCTCGATGGCGCAAGTGGTCAGCGCGTTCGGCTGCGATCGTTGAAGTTAAGAAGGTCGTTGGATGGGCGACCAAAAATTTACTATATCAAGCTCCTCCGTGTTTTGGAAACCGTTGCTCCTGACTGAACCTGCGGTCATTAGCACCCACAAATCCGCACTGGGCCCGTGGATAATGGCCCAATCTCCCTCTTCCATACATAGGGAAGGCCTGTGCCACTGCATTGGGGACATTAATACATTAATAGGCTGATGATGATGACACATAACCACGGAGAGAACATTGTCAATAAGGTCACAATATTGAGATGCGGTTAGTTCTGCAGGCGTTCCTTAACGCGGCCTGGCTGCGACGCGACCTTAGCATTAACCAATATCAAATTCGATTTCAATACGCGTCAACTGTCAGGAAGATTTTTAATGAGGATCATCACTAGGACAGCAAATGAACTAAAATCAATAGTATAATGATCTAATAAGCTTTTTAATTTATATACTTTTTAAGAGTAGGACAGGGAACGCTCAGTCCTTTGCAAATGCTGGCTTATATAGGCTAATGCGAACGTTTACTTGTTACAGGGCCGAAACCATATAGAAGACTGAGACCACAACGAAATTCCCAGTTAAGTTTCGATTGCAGAGCTAAAACACTTATATTTATTTCCAGTAACATATAATGTAAAATTATATGGGAGTAATTATTGTATTATAAATTACGTTTAGTATTTTATTTATGTAACAATATATCACTCCGTAGTTAATACATTTTGTTAATCAACTTTATACATATAAGACTTAATACAAGCTATTTTGTTTCTTTAGCGTTAACACGGCTGCTCTTTATTTGGCTGCTTGTGATATAAATAGAAAATGCATCTAACTATTCAGTTAAATGCACTATAGATCATCTTTGATTACATCTTTAGATAAACGGGCGTAGGGCATCTCTTAGGATCACAATCGCGTGTCATGAACGTAGTAAACTATTGATTGATTAATTAGTTAGAAACAAACATATTTAATTTTATTGGGTGTGTACAGGTTTCTTATCCTAATGGACAATTGAATGGCAATTATTATAAATAGAAACATTATATCGTCTTTGTATGAGATGGCTTTGGAGTAGTATCAAATTATATTGATTTAAATTTACTACCTAATATAATCTCTGTTTTCAGAGTAATAAAGACTGATTTCTCGGAGATATCGTCTGTCAACAAGCTGTTTTTGAATTTCTCCTCAATATATATTCTGTAGTTTAATTCCTATTTTGAAAATATATAAGAATATATATTTATTATTTTTCAAGGTAGGCTTCAATGAGGGCTTTAATAATCGAGTATGAATCCGGCGCTAGATACGCTTGTGTAGCGTGAGGTCTCCGAAATGTCAAATATCATTGCTTGTGGGTTGACAGCGTAGGGTTTATTTCTAAATAAATAATGTTTTGAATATTTGAAAAAAACTTGAGATTTAATATGGTAAATATGAGTTGCGGGCCTATGAATGTCAATGCTTTGAGACAGTTTTACCTTTTGGAAAGTTATCTCCACCTTTTTTCCAAACAAAACGGAACTGCGCACTGTGGTATGGCCGTGGTTTACGCTACGCTTCTATTGTATTAAATATGTTTTATATGTAAACTTGTTTTCACTCGCACATTAACAAACTTTGCCACAGCCACACTTCAGAACCTCACTCAACAGAGGTGCCATCTGGTGAGACAAAAAACGGTAACCCTCATTGAAAATGTAGAGTCAATGTATCTATTTGTCATAATTGCAAATAGATAATAGATTAGAAAAATTAGAAACGATTTTTTTACTGAGCCATATTAGCGACAGGTCTTTGTATAAATGTGTAAAAATGTTATTATTATAATTTTTTCCTTAGTTACTATACGAGTGATTAACATTGGTGCTGATGCTGAATAAGTTTGGAAAACGATGTATCTTTCTCGCGTATATTTGAATAGGTTTTTAAATGTTACCGTGAGGTAAAAGTGCATACACCTAGGATGCTATTGGAACTAGACATTTTTGTGTTTGAAGTCAAAATTTGAATGTGATGATTTATTAGGTAAAAATAATTCGAAGTTACCAAACCTAATTAATTGCTTCTTTGTTGTCATCTCTGATTTGTATTGTAAGACTGTGTTATTGCAATAAATCGTACAAAATATGACTTATGTTTTTATTTATTTTTAAGCATTTAACTGCTAGATGTTTAAATCTAAAGAAAAGTTTACTAGAAAAAAAAATCCACGCGGACCAGGCAGCGGACGGGACTCAAACCCGAACTACGGCCCTATTCGACGCGGCGAATAGGGCCGTGGTAGCATAATGGTCAGTGCATTCGCCCGGATTGCAAAGGGTGCGGTTTCGAGTCCCGTCCGCTGCCTGGTCCGCGTGGATTTTTTTCTAGTAAACTTTTCTTTAGATTTAAAATATAACTTGTTTTATTTTTTGAGTATTCAAAAAGCGCCTATTTATTTTCCGCTGGCTAGGGGCGATCATACATAAAGTGTTTAAGTTTGATGGTCTTAAGATCCTGGGTAAGAAACGCTAGTGATTACTTTCTCTATCGGAGGCCCAAGCATGAATTTTGGCAGCTCCGTAATCGTATCGTGAAAGTTTCTGTGGAAAGTAAGCAGCGCCCCTACCGGACGTAAGAACAAACTGGCTACTTCCATACAAAATTTGACCATGACTATACGATTACGGAGCTGTCAAACTTCGTGCTTGGGACTCGTGATTCTTGTACCTGAGACAAAGTTGCATTTTTTTTATATGAAAGGAATGAAGGCTAAAAAACTGCCCTTAGCATGTATAATTATTTCGCAATAGCCCATTACATTAAAATATTTGTTCATTAATTATTACGTGTTTCTTATTCTCATAAAACTTTCTTGAAATAATCAAATATTCCAACTATAAAAATTTACTCCATGTCAGTTCCAAAAAGAAAATGTTTCGGTTTACAAAAGTTGAACAATAATTCTACAGAAAAAATATTTTTGTAAGTACATATATCGAAATAAACGATATTGATAATTTCTAATGACAGGTACAAATGCACGTATTCATCATATTAACATTTGCCCCCACCGGGATTCGAACCCGGGACCTCTGAGTAGGCAACGCCTTAAACCCGGCGTGTATACCATTCGGCTACGGAGGTCGTCAATATAAAAATAAAATGAGGTTTATTTGAATTACATGCATTTTCCCTATTCTTCCCCGCTCAGCATGACAACGCTCCGCTCTACCCAGCTTAAATTAGCGCGCTATACATTTTAATGTTATTCTTCTCCACTCCGCTGGCATTGTTCCCACTGATGAGTGGAAAAGCTATGTGTATGCCATTGGTGTATTTTTTTAAACTGCTCAGACCTGCGTATGTTGTAAGGCAGTCTTATTTCGCCGGGCACCTGCGCCCGCGCCGCAGGTGCCCGGCGGGGACTGGCGGCGCGGCATGTCCGCGGCTGCCCGCCGTGGATCATACAAACCAGTTTATATGCAGTAACGCAGACGGCGACGCGGGGCGGCTAGCTCAGTCCGCGCCACGCGCTTTTTAGTGATGGACTATTCACTAGAACGAACGTCCTGAACTGACTGCCTCTGCCCGTCGTGCGCTTTGTGTACGCGGCGAGGGCAGCCGCAGACATCGACGGGCAGACGCGGTTTTTATTGCTTCGCGGACAAAAAGCCCGCCCGCCCCGTCGTCTGCAAAGCGCCTTAATGGTCACTTGGGCTGCAGTTTTGTGGTCATTTTTTAAAGTAGGTACAGTCGCCATCAGATATATCTGAGCATACAAGATGACCAAATACATCTGAACAGTTAAAATGTCAATGAGTTCTATACACTACAAGTGACCATTAATATCTGATCATTCATTACTTCAATAATATCTGAGCAGATGCCTGTCAATAATATCTGAACATACAACTTTTCAAAAATATCTGAACAATTTTAATAGGACCTCTTAATTATTTATTTATAATAAGATGACGCTGGCAGTTAAACACTTTCCAGTTTTTATTCTTATCACCTCTGTCATGTGTCATGCACAAATAAATTCAAGCAGCTTGCTTACGTATTAGTTCATACCATAAATTAACTATAATTGATATGAGTTCGTACCGTATTGATGCGGAAATGAAACATAAAATAATACAACTAAAAAATGATGGTTTATCCGTAAAAGATATCGCCGATGAGCTAGGGATAGCCGTAAGTATCACGGAGAAAAATGCTAAAAATCAATAGGGAAGATGCAATATTTTTATTTTTGTTTTCATTTTAAAGAATTCCATGTAGAATAAACCACAGATATATTAAAAAATTAAAACATTGTGATTTATCGGAAAAAATGCGGTTTTAAATTGACAATTTAAATTTTCGCGCGAAAACGAACCTATGGTTGCGATGACGTTACTCCTGTGTCACTGGCAAGGACGTATAAAAAAAGGCGGACAGAGTTTCGGCTAAGACAATACTGAGGCACCGTAATGGCGGCGGCTATTGATGAGTGAGTGAATTGTTGGGTTGCTAGGTTAGCCAATTTTTTACCAATAAAACACAGTAAAAACATGAAAATATTTTGATTGTTCAAAATTTTACTTTTTGCCCGACTGCGGAGGATAATGTTTTTCGAGCGTATGTATGCATGTATGTATGTATGTCCAATAATTTGGCACGCCCTACAGCCTGAACGTCTTGACGGATTTTGACATGCGAGGTGTCATTTGATTTGTCGTGATTGTGTGAGTGGCACTCGGTATATAAAATTTTCAAAAAATCAAAATAACAGATTTTATGCGCCAATATGAAACATTTTGAAAAAAAAGTATAAGTATTTTTATAACCCGTCAAGCGAGGTATCAAAGTGAAGGGTTTTAAAATAATATTTAGAAAATATACAACTCGTGTAATTAAAAATAATGAAATTAAAATGTCGAAAATAAAAAAAAATGTACTAAAAAGAAAAAAACAAGTCCAGTAGTCTAGAATTCTGTTTTATAAGGAACAAAGTTATTTTAACAGTCGGGACTCATTAGAAATTCTAGAATGTATCGAATTTTCTCAATATTGGGTAAATCAACTAAATATAGATGGCCTGGCCTACATTCTCTTTCATATTTCTTAAAATAAACTAACACCCATTGAGTACTGTTTGTAATTGAGGAGACCCATTGTTTTCCTCCGAAAGTACTCTTCAGATCTCCAGTAAATTAATATGCAGCCATCACGCTAGTAAACTGATTAAAACAAAAAAAGAATCATCATAAACGGTCCACGAATCTCGGAGATCTGCGCGAACAACAATAAAAAAAAACAAATATGACGCATTGCGAACCTTTTTCTTTTCGAAATCGGTTAAAAAATTTAATCAACCTTATGAGGTAATGCATACGTAATAACACGCCGGAGTCCTCCTTTAGTTGTATATAAGTCTTGAGCTTCAAAATGAAGACTAAAAATGACACTACTACTTAATTGTTTGGAAATCATTCATTTTCCAGTAATTTCTCCATACTACATTTTCTTTAGGAAATCTGATAAAAAAGAATAATAAATAATAGATTGAAGTTAATGTCAACCCAATTTCCCATATTTTAGGTAATATGGTTACATGAACATTGGCAA